ACCCCAGGATGAGTAGCTGCTGCCTTGGTAGCAGCTAATGGGGATCCATAATAAATCCAAATCCAAGTGTTATGTTTATTGTTGAACTAATCCTTGCGTAAATATTTCATTTTGTGTAATTATCTATCCATGCTCATAGGAAAAGCACAAGTTAGCAGCGGAGAGAGAATAAATATTAGATGCATAGATAAAAAAGAGAGCGAGAGGGCGAGGAGGAGCAAGAGAGAGAGAGTAGGGCCATGTCCTTTTAAACACTGTTTAAAAGTATTTAAGTAGAAATACTTTAAAGTACTACTTAAGTCTTTTTTTGGATATCTGTACTTTACTTTACTATTTACTGTATATTTTTGACAACTTTTACTTTTTACTCCATACATTTTCTCTGATACCCAAAAGTACTCGTTACATTTTAAATGTTTAACAGGACAGGAAAATTCACACACTTATCAAGAGAACATCCCTGGTCATCCCTAGTGCCTCTGATCTGGCGGACTCATTAAACACAAGTGCTTTGTTTGTAAATTATGTATGAGTGTTGGAGTGTGCCCCAGGCTATCCGGAAATTTAAAAAAAACTAGAAAATTGTGCTGTCTGGTTTGCTTAATATAAGTAATGTGAAATATTTATACTTTTACTTTGACGTTTGATACAAGTATATTTTAGCAATTACCTTTACTTTTGATACTTAAGTATATTTAAAACCAAATACTATTAGAATTTTACTCAAGTAGTATTTTACTGGGTGACTTTCACTTTTACTTGCATCATTTTCTGTTAAGGTATCTTTACTTTTACTCAAGTATGACATTTGGGTACTTTTTCCACCACTGCTTTTATACTCTGTTATGTATTTCTCTTATCACAGGGTTTAAACTGGCAGTATGCTTGTCTCCTGGCAGTTTAAGGCAAGTGGTTTGCTGCTTGGGAAAGCCAATAGCTCCTCCATGTTTCTGCTTATTCCGTGTGTCCCCCTCCTCAGTGTGTTGACATGGGTGACACTAGCCCTCTCAGAGAGGGATACACCATGCCAACACAGCCTGGCATACAGTCAACTGGCCCTTGCACTGTGTCAGTGTTCTGGGTACTTTTTAGCTGGGTACAGTAGGCCTACTACTACATCCTACTACTACATCCTACTACTACATCCTACTACTACATCCTACTACTACATCATACTACTTCATCCTACTGCTACAACCTACTGCTACATCATACTACTACATCCTACTACTACATCATACTACTACATCCTACTGCTACATCCTACTACTACATCCTACTTCTACATCCTACTACTACATCCTACTACTACATCCTACTGCTACAACCTACTGCTCTATCCTACTGCTACATCCTACTGCTACAACCTACTACTACATCCTACTACTACATCCTACTGCTACATCCTACTGCTACATCCTACTACTACTACATCCTACTGCTACATCCTACTGCTACATCCTACTGCTACATCCTACTGCTACATCATACTACTACATCCTACTACTACATCCTACTGCTACATCCTACTGCTACATCCTACTGCTACATCCTACTACTACATCATACTACTACATCCTACTACTACATCATACTACTACATCCTACTGCTACATCCTACTGCTACATCTACTACTACATCCTATGCTTACATTCCTACTGCATACATCCTACTTGCTACATCCTACTGCTAATCAATCCTACATCTACTACTAACTCATACTACTACATCCTACTGCTACCATCCTACTGCTACATCCATACTGCTACATCTACTGACTACATCATACTACTACTTTCCTACTGCCCTTACATCCTACTAGCTACATCCTACTGCTACCATCCTACTGCTACCTTCCTACCTGCTACATTTTCATACTAATACTATCATCTATACATCCTACTACTACATCCTACTACTACATCATGGCTTCAAAGTGATTATGAAATCAGGGAAGGGAATACAACAACTTTAGGTAAATGTTCTACAACAAGTACAGTACTTCTAGACCAAGTACTTATATAATAACTGCAAAAGTCATGCATCTTTACACTACGTTTTGGAGCACATTCTTTTTATTTACATTCACTATGTGCAGTGTCAACATGCCTTGGCACTGCTGCTGTTGTTGATAAAAGTCCATCAGGCATGTTTTTGGAAGAGCATTGGAACCGAAGGAAACATGTTTATAGTTCATTTTTCTCTCTTTTTTTTTTTAGCGCAAAAAAAAAGCTAAAGAACAGGTTTTCCATCTGAAGCAGCTGTCTGCATCTGCAGTTTGTTATAGCGAGTGGCAGGCAGATCATCAGGCAGACCATCCATTGTGTTCATTAGCTGGGCTTCCAGTCAGTTTCCTACTGTGTTTGTGTGACATGTGTAAACTATGGCCTGTGAGCTGATACTGTGGTACACAACAGTCCCAACCTCAGAGTTATGCATCCTAGTCATACCCCCAGTCCTGAAAGCCCCCCAGCTAGCACATAACGTTCTGAGAACCATATGTTTCTTGACGCTTGGGGAGAGCGTGGTTGTCCTATTGTTATTTAGCATATAACCTTCCACAACTTTCTGAGAATGGTGCAGGATAATTGCTTGGCTTTGGAACATTCTCAGCACATTTAACGAACGTGACAAAAAAAAACATTATTTTCTTGGTATTTCAATAGAACGTTTCCTAAAAGTTCAAACATGGCATGTTAGCTCCAGCCTAGTGGCACAGTGGACTACATCATTCCATGGATAGAGATCAGAAGATTAAAGGTTTGAATCACAATTAATGATTAATACCTAAGGAAATGAATTTCCGTGTGTCCTATCTGTGCTTGGAGTTCTAAAATGTTAACCCAAAATAAGCTAGCAGTGTTATTAAAAGTCTTATTGAAACATTCAGTGAAAGTTTTAAGGAATTTATTCAAAAGCCTCCAAATAACCTATAATTTCAGTTCTCAGAGCGCTAATAAAACCTCCCAGGAAAACTTTCAAGGAACCAGAGTAAAACATTCTCAGAACCTAAAAATAAAAGTTCCCAGAAGAGGCAACATTTTCACTTCTGTTCTCAGAACGTTTAAAAAGCGTTCAGTTTTACTGGTCAGGAAACATATGCTTTTGTTCCCACAACCAATGTGAAACCAAAAACATATGTTCCCACAACTTCCAAGGAACCAAATGTGTTACCTGGGCCCTTTCCTAAAGATAATTAGGCCTAGAAGGGGAAGTTCAGTTTTGCAGTCTGTTTATAGTTGTCGGGCTAGGGGAGCAATGGATTATGATTTCTGATGCAGATGTTATTATGATAATCTATGTACAAAAGTATTTTTTTAAAGTATTCATTGTACGAAAATATATAATGATTTGTGAAGCCTTTATGCACACTAAGATTACAGTTTCGCTGCTTCAGTATTTTACAAAAGGATTCATAAAGGAACCACAACAACAGGTAACAAAATATAATATTAATAAAATATTGATAAATTAAAGACATTCTACAATATGGTCAGGGTATGTACTGTATGTTCACCCTCTGTATGCATATCCATGTTATACAATTTTACATAATCACCTACTTGTCATAGTAAAATCAATAAATTAATAAATAATTAGGCTTCTAAGTTACCCAAGCAGCAGAGAACTGTATTACATTTGTATTACAAGAACACAGAACAAGAGAGGACTCCACACAGGACTCTTAGAGGAGGGGAGGAGAGACATGAAGTGCCATCCTCTTTACTCATCTTCTCAGCCTGTCCATGATAACAGGCCAAATACATGGACATCTTTTCCTTAAATGTGAAGGATGGCAGGGCCAGAGGGAGAGGGATGGATGGATGGGAGGTAAAGAAGCAAAGGGAGGGAGAGGAGCTTGGATGGGGCACATGATGGGGGTAGGTCAGTGAGTTGAGCTAGTAGAATCTGTTTCTATTAGTACCCATGGAATCTTGACAGGCCCTCTCCCCCACTCCTGTCCCCCTCCCCCTCCCCCTCCGCTCCCCCGGCACCTCCAGTCCTGAGTGGCGGAGCACATGTTTCTCACCGCCAACACCTCCTTATCGGCACGGTGTGGAGGAGTGGGAGAGAGCGGCTCGCACGGCATGTGACTGACTCTGAGGCCGATGTGGGAAGGTGGGTGAGGGCCCGAGGGAGATAACCCAGCCCACCCTAACCCCTGCACTGACCTCAGCCCACTGCCCTAAATGCTAGGGGGAGGTGGTGAGGATGAGGGTAGGCCCCCTACCAGAAGTCCAGTCCAGTCAGGTTTGTGTTTCCCTTGGGAGGCCTGTTTCTGTTGCTGTTAGGGAGACATGCTAAATGAAGTGTGGATTAGTGTTAGCATCCAGGGAGGGGGAGAACAGAGATAAGTGGAGAGGAAGACATAAGTCAGGAGATCAATGTCAGTGGAGAGCTAACTGTGGAGAGCTAACTGTGGAGAGCTAACTGTGGAGAGCCCTGTAATGTCCCACCAGCTAGGCCTACTGGACATCACTGTACGGCTGGTTACTGTATTGCTGGAAGCCTTTGGGTGACCTGAGGATAGTTTATTCTTGAAGGTCCATCCTTTTTTTCCTCAGAATTTTGTACAAATTCCAAATGTGTTATTTAGCTTGAAATGGCATCCAACTGCTTCTATTACAGAATTATGAATTGGTATCATAGACATTTTACTGTACAAAATAAAATATACATTTTCCTGAAATACAAAATATACATACACAATGTACAAACGGTTTAGTTTAGATCCATCTTATATACACATACATGTCATAGCTGCAGATACAACAAAGTACTGTTCTTCCCTGTCCGGGATACCTATTCTCTTCCTTATTGTTTTTCTTCTCAACTGTTCTCAGCGGTGATTCTAGATTCAATTCAGAGTCCATGTATTCTAATACCATCATGCTTAAAAAAAAAAAAAAAGTCATCTTTGCTTTGTTCCATCCACACCCTGTCATTTCTCTTCACGAATGTCTCTCTCCATGTCCATATGAGCAGCAGGGTGGACTAGCTATCTGCAGCCACACTCTGCCACCACCATGCCCTCAAACTTATACTTGTACGTGACTACTCCAGTGTCATCCATGTAAAGCAGGGAGATGGGATCCAGCTTGGTGGGCACGCAGCAGGCCCGCGTCACTTTCTGTGGGCTCTTCATGCTCACCAATGTCTGGACGATGGCGTGCTTGGTGGGCGTCACGTGTTTAGTCAGCGGGTATGTGCAGATGCCGCTGCACTCAAAGGCCTCGTACCCGGCAGGTGCTAGGATCCAGCTGTCCCAGCCGATGTCTTTAAACTCCACGTACAGGGACTGCTTCTTACACTGGTTGACCTTGGCGTTGCGGCGGATTCTGGAGGCCGTGTCATAGATCAGATTGGAGCGCATCTGGAGCAGGGCCTCTTCGTCCTGCTCCTCCTCTTCCTCCTCTTCCTTGCCCCCCGCCTGGCCCAGCTCCCCCCACAGCCTGTTCAGCTCCAGGTCACCCTGAAGCACCGCCTCTGAGGTCTCGTGTCCAATCATCTCGTTCAGCTCCCTCTTGTCATCGCGGTGATCACCGCTCTGATCGTCGGAGAAGATAATCATCAGGGGTTTGTGTTTGTCATCTGGGCTGGTGTCTATCTCCATGTCTCCCCTGAATGTCCTCCTCCCCTCTCCCTCTCCTTCTCCCTCACCCTCTGCTAGTGTCTGCCCCCTTTCCCCCTCAGAGGCCAGGCTTGCTATGTGGACCTCCAGCCTATGGGTGGTGCTGTACTCTGATTTGCGCCAGTGCTGGACGGCAGCAGTTAGGTCAAAGGCCTCCCAGCCATTATCAGTACCATAGACCTGCCGTGATGCCAGCTCCACTAACTCCTCCCGTCCTCCTCCTCCTGCTCCTCCTCTCTCTGTGTCCTTCGCTGTTCTGTTGTCCTCCCCTGTTCCATCCTGCTGCAGCTCGTAGATGGTCACCTTGCGGTCGACCCCAGCGTAGAGGTTGCGGTCGGTCTGGACCAAGGTATAGAGACGCAGCTCTGCGGCGGTGATACGCTCATTGTGGGGTATGGATACGTTGAAGAGCAGAGGGTGTTGTCTCACCCCTCTACTACCCAAACTGCAGGGAGATGAGTCTGGGGGAGAGGAATACACAGAGATGAAGGCTGTTAATCAGTACTTCTTCTTGTTGATGCTTTGAATATATTACCAGTGTACTACACTGCAGAATTGATAGTACAGCAAAAGCCAAGATTTTGTCCAACACACTTCCGAGACAATTGTAGCATCCTAATAAACATTAAACTAGATGAAGTTGAATTAATATACCATTGTAAAAAATCTAAATTAATAATGAGAAATTCACTTTAAAATCAATAAAAAACACTTTGTTTATTTGCACAGTGCAGACTCTCAAAAATGTAAGGCGCTACAGTATTTGTAAGATAAAAAGATAAAACAAATGTCATCGAAAATTCAACTATTATGCTTAATAGTTTTTACACTATGCATGTTGACCCTCTACAGGTACATTTTGATAGGTAATACATTTCTGATGAACAGTTCTGATATTAATACTCTCATTATACAGGGATAACGGGTTTACAGTACATGAATTAAAACATTTCCAAAGCAAAGAACACCATAGCATAACGTGAAGCTACTATGGCATAAGGACACAGAGTACAGTATATTGGCTCTCTACCTTCGTTCTTGAAGCTGCGGATGATGTTGGCGGTTGGCATGGCGGTGTGGTCGTTGGCGAAGCGGTTGTAAATCTCCATCATGTACTCGGGCGGCTCCACGCGGACACTGCCAGGTGCCTGGGCAGGAGGGCCCAGGCCAGACAGGTTGAAGGTCCGGAGGCTCTCCAGCAGGCTCTGCATGTCCACATCACTGTCCTGCTCCAACAGAGATGGGTCTATGACGCCCCCGTGGCCGTCCCCCAGACCTGGAGCAGGGCGATGCCTCTCTGGGGCCAGGGAGATGGGGCTGCCCTGCCCAGACAGGGGCCACATCAGGAGCAGCAAGGGGAGCAGGGGGAAGGTCCTGGTGATAGAGGTAGCCTCTAACCTGGAGAGCCCATTGTCCGCCATGGAGAGGAGAGCTACTGTTCTTGTGTTGTATGGTATATCCACAGGGAATGTCCAATGTTGAGATTGAACAGAATTATACCTATCAAACGTGTTAATCCAACGGTCCACTGGAGGTTGGGTTCAGCTTGATGAAGTGTGAGAAACAACAACCGTGTTCTTCTCTTGCTGATCCGGTTGGTTGTCGGTTCTCTGGTGACTCAAAACTCAACTTCTGTTGAGCCTTGGAGTTGACCAGTGAGGAGGTTTGTTTTCTGTGGCTCTCCCTGTGTGTTCCTCTTGCTGTGTGTGGCTTGGAACTCTGATAGACTGCTCTCATTCCAGATCGTATGCCATTTATCCTAATGCACACCTTTTGATGTTGTTTTCTAAAGAGTTGGCGTTCCAGCTAGAGGGTGGCTTTGCTGTGTCCAACGGAGGCATCTCTTGGGTTTTTTTTCTCTCTCTCAGTTTCTCCTTCTCTCTCTCTCCTCTCTCTCCTCTCTCTCTCTCTAGCTCTCTTTCTTTCTGTCTGTTATCTATGATATGGTAAGCTCTGCATTTCTCAGTGTTTGTGTCCCTGTGTTTGTGTGTGTGTGTGTGTGTGTGTGTGTGTGTGTGTGTGTGTGTGTGTGTGCGTGTGTTATCTCACCACTTCCTTAATGAGGACTTTGTAAACATTGTCCTGTAGCCTGTTCCTTGTAAAAGGGATATTTTGTTTTGTGTCGGAGCACCAGGCAAGGATGAGATTGTTCATGTGTTTATTTGTTTGGTAAATGGTGGAGCTGCAGAAACAGGAATTTGCTCCATTAACCATTTATTTTTGACAAATCCGTAAAGGGTTAGTTGATGTTGAATGCGACAGGATTTGTCTGTTGGACAGTGCCTTCCCAAATGAAATTGAAATGTAATGAGGTGTGAGATGTAATGGGCAGCGATGAGAAATTATGGACTTCTGCAAGTCTGTAGAACACACAACAAACAGATTAAGATCAGCTGATGAGAACAGCACAGAGCAGATCATTTTGCATTTCATTAGCATTCTATGACAGAAGTTGTATTATTTCCTTAATTAGTTTTAAAATGTACAACCAAAACCCTGAAAAGCATTTATTTCAGTTGGGAAAAAAAGTTGTTTCTGAGTCGACTACACAACACAACACAACTTTCCCATAATCTACTCATTACCCACTTGAGTTTCAAAGTTTGCAGCACTTAAGTGCACTTCCTCTTTTAGTTGGCAAACACGTTGCAGACGTCACAGGAGTGTTGGAAGTGGGTTATCTCTGTCTGAATGTCTGACTAAGAGGCCCAACTGCCAATTGAATGCACAGGAGTCAGGACGTACAGTTTCCAGTGTGCTCTGCGCTGTGCCCTCACATGTCCGTCAGACATCAGTACAGTGGTTCTGAGGTCAGCTTTTGTCCAAATTCCACAGCCCAGAATGGAGTGCAGGAGAGAGAGGGCTTTGAAGGGCAGACTCCATGCTTTGCAAGGGCAGACTAGTCTCCTTGCATTCCACTGTGATTAGGGAGACAGCATAGAGTCAAAGGTGACAATGGAACTAGAACCTGGATGACACAAGCAAGAACACATCTCCACTGACCAATGACGAGAGGAGTAATCTACACTAACCTCCCCGTTAAAGTCACGTGCCCACTGTCTCACATTTTTTTCTATTTTTCAGCTGAATGCATGAACGGTATTTTAATGATGAGTGATTCCAAACCCTGTGCATCCCCTCAATACCTCACCATAACACCTGGTCATCTCAGATTTGCCTTTAAAGATAGATTCTGTAAGATTAATTAATGCTACCGTTAGCTCCAGATTCTTAATTCAGACGTATAATTGAACTACACTTTTCGAATCTGTATGGCTGCTACTGTTTGTTTCAACCACAATTCAGGGGTCCTCATTCATGAGCCTCTGACAGTGACCTGCAAAGGTACATTCTGGATAGTGAGGAGGAGAGGACATGGGAAGGAACAGGATCTTCCTTCCCCTCCCCTGTTACTCATCCTCCAGGGTGACAGTTGACAGACTTGCTGTTATCTCCCCTGCTGTCCCTTTTACGCAATGCCTCCTTTGTGCACCACCAGTCCCTTCTCTCTTCCATCTTCCTGCAATGATGAAGAATGCTTGATAACACCACTGTCCCACTTTCATTCGCTCCCTGTTTTTCTCACAAACACACACATGCACGAACAAACGTGCGCCCACACACACACACGAATGCACAAACAGACTTGTACACACACGTAGGCCCACACGCACACATTCCAGCCATTTTCCCCCTGGCCTTACATACACGTTATCTCCACTGACCTACTCTCTTTCTTCTGACCCCATCAGTGTGTTACGACATTCTCTTTGGCCCTGATCTCATTCATTCTTTCTGTCTCTCTTTCTGTCTCTCTCACTCTAGCACTCACTCTATCTCACATGCATATTACACATGTAATCCCTCTTAAAAGGTTGCAGTTCAACGTTGTGAGTCATAATAATGACAAACTGTGCAGATTGTTGGTCAGTCGACTTAATCTGTTCTTCTTTATTCATTTTTGGATCAAACAAATATAACATGATTCGAACATTAACAATTGAGCCGACATGCGCAGCGTTTTACCATGGATGCGATCTCCGCGAACGTCGGGAAAATGCCTTTAAAATCCGTATTGTTGGCTGTCCAGCGTGCTGCGCTATGAATCCCCACCAAAACACTAATACAGTCCATTATAGTCCAAGCGTCCTAGACATTCTCTTAACCTGGACACTATGCACCAATAGCTATTGCATTTACATACTGTAAGTTCTATAACAATATAAATGTAATGGCCCCTGCATGGTCGGCAACTATCAGCATTTTATAAGATAATACACACATCACATGCATAATCAGCTACACCAAGCAAAGGCCATTCGCATACAGTTGCAGCATTCCTCATTTTATGTCTATGAATGTGACGTGTAGTCAACAGCTGATTTAGCTAAAGAGTTTACCCATGGGTTTTCCCACCAAACAAACTGATAAGCTAGCAACATGTTCCAGCTCCCAGCCAGGGTTACAGCTCTGGCCAAGACACTGACTGTTCCTGTTCTACCTCTCTGGTAGGACAACATATGTCATATAGACACATATCTGCATGAGGCTGTGATGTCCATTGTGATGGGATCTTTTCTCTATGTTAGAGATCTCTATATTGAGGGATCTCTGCGTTATGTTACAGTTCCCTTGTTCAGAGATCTCTATGTTCAATATCCATATACTGTATTGAGGGATCTCTTTGATAACTTAAGGCAGTTCTAGGTTCTAGGTTGGTCCTCATGGTTCTCTGGTGAGGAACTACTGAATCTAGGTTGGCCCCCTCGTGGTTCTAAGTTGGCCTTCGTGGTTCTCTGGTGAGGAACTGTTGTATCTCCTGGTCCAGCTCCTGGTTGCGTCTCTGGGCCTTGTCTCGGCTGTATTCTGCGTTCCTCAGCCGAATCTCCAGAGCAGACACAGAGCGCTTCTCTTCGTCCAGGGCTGACTGCAGCTCCGCTACTGTGGCACTCAGCTCTCTGTTCCTCTGCTGAAGGCTGCATGGGAGGGGAGAGGGAGGGAGATATCATTTATGAATGCAGAGTACAGTACACTAGTCTTGACATTGTGTCCTTTCCAATAACATAGTATTCTGCATCCTAAATGACACCCTATATAGCCCTAGTCAAAGTAGTGCACTATATAGGGAAAAGTGTGTCATTTGGGACACAGGAAGTATTCCATAATACAGACCTGGTAACGAGGTGCTCTGAGTCTCCCCGGCTGTCCTCCTGCTGTTCAACCTTACTGTCTGGTTGAAGGGCTGAAGATGAAACCACAGCTATACCGGCCTCTGTCTTCTTCTCAGGGGTCGCTGACTGAGACTTCTGCTTGGGGTCACTGCTGGGTTTGGAAGAGGTGGCTGTGATGTCATCATAGGTGACTGTGATGTCACTTCCTCTCCTGGCCGTCTCTCTGTCCTCCCAGTCCTTCTTCTGGGCCTCTCCGAACAAAGAGGTCCTCTGTAGGTCCAGGATCTTAAAGATGTCCTCTGAGAGAGTCTTCTCTTCCTTCTCCCCTTTCTCCTCGCTACACTCATTGATGTGGCTCCAGCAGTTCATGGCCTCCAGCTTGCCGGCCATCCCCGGGACTGGGCAGTTCAGGGTGGGCAGGGTCTGGGTGCGTTTGCGGGGGCTCCCGGACCAGTGGTCTATGGCTGAGGATGAAGAGAGTGAGTGGGGCTGCTGGGGCCCTGCCTGGGGGATGGAGATGGTCACTGGCTCTGCCCCCAGATTGTCTGTGTCCTCCTCCTCCTCTGGAGACTCTGACAGAGACCCCTCACACTGCAGGGACAGACAGAATGTGGAATGTAGTTTAGACCACAGAACTAGAATGAGCTTTATTTACTGCAACACACATGAACATTTACAGAAGTGTAGCTATGCAATGCTTATTGGTATAATAATGTATCATAATATACACTGAGTATACAAAACATGACATAGACTGACCAGGTGAATCCAGGTGAAAGCTATGATCCCTTAGTGATGTCACATGTTAAATCCACTTCTATCAGTGTAGATGAAGGGGAGGAGACTTTTAAAGCCGTGAGACAGTTGAGACATGGATTGTGTATGTCGGCCATTCAGGGGGTGAATGGGCAAGACACAAGATTTAAATGCCTTTGAGCGGGGCATGGTAGTAGGTGCCAGATGCAGCAGTTTGTGTCAAGAACTGCAACGCTGCTGGGTTTTTCATGCTCAACAGTTTCCTGTGTGTATGAAGAAGGGTCCAACGCCCAAAAGACATCCAGCCAACTTGACACAACTGTGGGAAGCATTGGAGTCAACATGGGCCAGCATCCCTGTGGAACGCTTTCGACACCTTGTAGAGTCCATACCCCGATTGATTGAGGCTGTCCTGGGGGGCAACTAAATATCAGGAAGGTGTTCCTAATGTTTTGTACACTCAGTGTATTACTCCTTTAATTTTGCACTACATTTGACCAGTGCCCTATGGGCTGCATTTCATTAATTATGTGATGTTGTTACCTCAGCAGACTCCCAGCCCACAAAGCTGCGTGGAGCGCTGTTCTTCTTGCTGTCACTCTTCTTGATGGGGGGTGAAGGAGCCACGTCTTTAGACGGAGGAAACAAAGCCTCATGCTGTCTGATCATCACTGTCATCAGCTTCTGGATCTGAGGAGTACCTGTGAGGAGAGACACAGCCAAGCACACAGTCTGTTTATGCAAAAGACAGATCTGAAAGGGAATGAGGATACAGAAACAATTTGTTGATATAAATTATACTGTGTCTATGAGCTATTGCTTATCTATCTTAATTTCATAAATAATCAAACAGTACAGTAAGGTCAGTTTGTCATTGCATCAAGCAGCAGCAGTATGTCAAAATAAAGGTATGACTTTCAAAATAAAAGCATAGGCCTACTGCTGATAATGACAATACCACCCTGTTACAGTATGCACTAAAGGCCTTTTCACATCAGGGTTGGGGTCAATTCCATTTGAATTCCAGTCAATTCAGGAAGTCCACTGAAATTCCAATTCTTTCCAATGTTTTTCAATTAGGAACATTTGGAATTGGAATTTGGTTTACTTTCTGAATTGACTGCAATTGAAATATAATTAACTCCAACCCGTTTTCACACTGCAATTTCTTAGCCCAAGGCTATCCTTAACATGGCTTAAGATGATCCTGACAGGCAGTGGTCTGGTCTCACCCTTCATCATAGTGATGGGGTCCTCAATCTGGGACTTGAGCAGGTTGATCCCAATGACCGTGGCCAGGTTTTCAACACTCATCTTGTTCACCTTGGAGTTCTGCTGCACTTCAAATAAGAACCTTCACAGACAGAAAGATCAGACAGCAAAGTCACACAGGGTGAGTCCCAAATGGCACCTTATAAAGTGCCCTATTTAGGACGTAGAATCACTCACCATGCAGATTTTTATTTTATTTTATCAAACGCAAAATGCTGTACGAGCAAGCTATAGACTAATCATTACAGTGTAGTAATCAAATTGCTTTTCAAACGTTTCAATAGAAGCTCGTTCATCAATAGGTTCTATGATATGTAATTCAACTGAATATTCACTACCCTGATCTGTGATTGTTTACGTGTAAGCTCACCTGCATATGTAGCTGAGGAGGTTGTAGTTGGTTCTAGGAAGTAGGCTGATCTGCTTCTCCAGTCTCTCACGACCCTGGGTGGAAAGTGAGTTGGAATGTACATAGTTTAACTAAAGCACTCCTATTCAGCAGGCCTGCATGTAGTCATTTTGGCTATGGTCATCATTGAAGGAAGTCAAAACACTCTGATTCAGTACATACTCATTTTGGCACAGTTGACAGATATAGAGCTAAATCACAAATTGTAGCCTAGAGAAAACGTTTATTTATAAGAATATTTGGCTAAAGTCTTAATTGAAGTAAATATGAGTTCCTACTGCAGCACTGTTGGGGTCCAGCATGGGGCTGCAGTCCAGGAAGTCTTGGTACTGTGTCCAAGGAACCACCGGCTCAGGCAGCTCCCGCAGGTACAGCTTGAACAACGACCCCACTGTGTGGACATCTGTGTCACTGCAGGGCACAAAACAGTCATAAACAGTGCATACATAGGCTACACAAGCACACCCACACACAGTCGCACGCGCATTCATATGCATCCACACACAGTCGCACGCGCATTTATATGCATCCGCACACACACAGACACACACAAACATACAGTTTTGCTGAGTGTATTTCTATTCTGTGTTGAATCCAGCTACAAATCAGTTTGTCCTCCCTTTCAACAATTTTGTCACCATAGAGAGTTCAGCGTGGGCAGAAGGTTCTTATAAGACTGTTTGCTGTGTTGTTCAGTAACGCTGCTCTTCTCTGTCTACTAGGACAGGATGTGGTGTAAGCCACAGAGCACTAAGAGCAGAAAAGTGTATCAGGCATCTCTGTACTATCATCCTCACTGCATCTCTCTCATCTTTCTATGCAACCTTTAGAAAAGAAGCCAACAGGATTTGAGTTTGTATAAAAAGGGCGTAATAATTGTCTGTTTGTACGTTGGCGCCCTTGAACGTTCCTTCAAACGCTGTTATGTAAGTTAGCTTAGCTTAATTTAGCTCTGAGGCGTCTCACATTGGGAAGGAAGGTCTCTCTCCAGCGTTGAACGCATCCCTAAACTGTTTGACGATGTTGTCTTGTCCCGGTAGTCTGAAGATGCCTTCCTCATTTAGTCCGTGTTCTCTGATGAACTCTGCACACTTCTGCACCAGGATGGGCACCATGTGGGGGCCAAACCGCTGCTCGTAGGTCACCGTATCACACAGGTTCTTGCCAAATATCGCTGAGAGGGAAAGAGAGCAGTTAGAGTAAGTCACAGCCCAGACTGGAGAATCAGAGCCACGGTTTTTCAAGTTGTGGGTCAAGACTTGAGAGCCACTTGTGGCTAGTTCCTCATGGGTTGCGGCTTTATGTCATGGGCCCGAAGACAACTCCAAAAAGAGTCCTCGAACAAAAGTCAAGAAATTAAGTTCAGATGTCATACTAGAGCCCTGCTTTTTCCTGACCATGTGACCTGACCAGGAAAAACGTATTCTGGGTCCTAGTTATATGTTTTTTTCCTGGTCAGGTCCCTTGGTCAGGGAAAACTCTTGTCCCTTAATAAGGTCAGCAGACTATCTGTACCTCCACTAGAGGGCACTCCAACCACCCTGCGGAGCGTGCGGACCCACCCCTCCATCTCAATGTGGGAGTTGGCCATGAGGACGTACGGGTACCGCTCCCGATCACCACTGTTGCCTGGAATACAGAGAGGGTATGACTCTCCAACATACTGGGATACATCATACATAGGGAAGATCTTTAATTCCTCTCTCAGCGGAGAGACAAGAGAGAGACATGGTGAGATGGAATGCGAGAGAGAGGATGCGAGAGAAGGGAAAGAGAGAGCTAGAGAGAGAGTCAGAGACAGATACAGTCTTCTGCTTACGTGGTATAATCTCAAAAAAGAATTTCCCAGGGTCATCTTGGTTCAGTGGGAGCTCATTGACTTTACTGAACCTCAGCTGGATCACTCCCTGGGGACAGAGGGACAGACAGTCACTGACATCTTAGTAAACAAGACATACATGTCTAGGCTACAGGAAACACAGGGAAGGACTTCAATAAAGATGGTAACATGCTAACTGAATATTGACAGCAGTAGTGTTGTTTGGATGCTTAAAGTGCCCTGAGGTTTTCCTAACCACATGACCAGATCAGGAAAAGTTAAAGGCTATAACTAGAGGCCAGACCTATCTGCCCTCCTCTCTACCCCATCTCACCTGGACAGTCCCCTCCTTTTCGTCTTTATGGTAGGTCAGTGTGCTTCCTCTCAGCACAAAGTAGCGCAGCTGCCAGTTCTTTACGATGGACCTCTGTTTCTTCAGCCAGCCAGCCTTCAGCGGCTTCTCCATGGCCCTCCTGGTGGAGCCGGGCGAGCCTAACCCTGGGCCGCCCTCTCCAGGCATCACACTCTTAGACCGTGCTGCCACAGAGCGGAAACATACAGAACAGCCGTATCGTTAAATAGAGCCTTAAGAGACACTACACTAAACACAGCCAGGATGTCAACAAGGCTCTCAACATCCGTCAAGTCAGGTCTTCTTCTTTTATTAATCTGAACATGCATCAATCTGACTTGCAGTAGACAGAAGTGGTGGCCTGGCAGGAAACAGACCGCCAATGTCTGACCTGCCAAGCTTCCTGTTTAAGGTGCATGCTTCTAGATTCTAGTTGTGATTGTTCAATGGTAGGAAAATAGTGACCTACAAATACACTGGGAGCTTTCAATACAATCTCTATGGGTTTCTGAGGGCTTGCACTTACGCGCTTTCGTCATAAGTAACGTAACCATGAACGTAACTAAGAAAAGAGCGGGTAGCAGCGTCTCTGTTGCGACCTGCAGTGTGGCGTTATCTTATGTTTTTAATTTGTACACTTAGTGGCGTTATTTTATGTTTTTAATTTGTACACTTAGTTTACAAACATTCTGCCAACCATGGATTTCCAGTGGTGGGTTTTGGACTGATCTTGTTGATCGTGTACATACCCGCTACGAACGGACTAAATAATGAAAACGCTGCTGGCAGCGGAATCCAATACAGCAGGGAGTTTTTACTACAATGCAACTCAAATACGAACGCGATGGATATCCCAATGGCCCATCTAATACCTGATTGTCTGCGAGTGGATTACAAACCCAAATGCAAACGTGGAAAACGCGGGGGAATCAGACAACGACTTTAAAAAAATTAAGAACAAACTTCCCTTACCCACCACCTTGCTGATTAATGCCCAGTCACTGAGGGGGAAAGCGGATGAGTTGTCAGCGAATCTGCGCTTCCAACACGAATATCGGGAGGCCTGTTTGCTGGCATTTACTGAGACTTGGCTGGATGACAGAGTCCCGGACAGAGAAGTGGAGCCGGCCGGCTTCACCCTGGTCAGAGCGGACCGCGATCTGACAGTCACAGGGAAAATCGATCCTGGTAAGAGAGCGACTCTGTACCCCCGACATTGAACTGCTTTCTGTGTCACTGCGACCTTACTATCTGCCCCGTGAGTTCCCCCAATTGTTTGTTACCGTTGTGTACATTCAACCAAAAGCTAATATAACAAAGGCATCAGAGATTATTTATAATCTGTCACAGAAACTGGAATCCATCTCCCCAGATCAGTCAATAAATGCTTCTGGTATTGACTTATATGCTGCCCCTGTCTTCATGTTGTTGCTGGACATATCTTTTTTAAAATGTGTGTAGGTCACCTAAATCATCAGAAAAATTGCCCCCCCTGGGAATTTTTTCAGGAGCCGCCACTGCTGGGCCTTCAACAATTAGGTGCACTAGACTACAGGGAAGGGCAACACAGGAACAATAATACAGTACATGGTCTCAACTAGACCTAAATATAGACAAGGTTGAGTCATTTTCCTTTACTAACAGGCCAGCCATTGCTCAACAACATGATGATTTACTGTCTAAGTTGTCTGTGGATGATGTCAGAGGAGAGCATGAGAGAGATAAAAGGAAGAGCATGATGAAAGGATGGAGAGGGAGGTAGAGTAGTAGGCTACGTGGCACAGGATGGAGAGAGAAAACGGAGGACGGAGTGACACGCAGGGTGGTAATGGAGGTTGCCGGACAGATGCTGTGATTGTGATTGAGAGCGTTCGCTCACTTGTTGTGTAAATCACTGTGACCTCCCAGGCCAGATGAAAGAAGAGAAGAAGATGAGCCTGGCTATATAAACAGGAAGTGACTGCATCGATGGGACAAACGCTTTGAAGGCCCCCACCTAGAACTCAGACCCTTTGGTCTGTTTTAATAGCATCATCCCTTGAAGAGGGCCATTTCAAAGGGCTCTGGATGAACCTCTGGCCCACACACAGTGAAGTATGAGACACCACAAAAAAAGGAAAGACGGACACAGACCTTTGAGGAACCTTTCAACTGGACGGAGGACCTCCTAGACCCAGGAGTCTCAATGAAACCATAAATAAACTTTCAACTTCTCAAACGGAGCTTGTTGCAACAAGCTGTTTTACGTCAGTGTGAATAATGTTACATCAATGAGGAGGGGATTGAAGTGCGTGGCTGTGGCACAATGCTATTAAGTGTATAAAGGGCCAGCAGGAATAGATGTAGTTCCAAATAATGATCTCAATTACGTTTTGAATAAACGTGAATATTTAACCCCTAGAGACCAAGTCTGAGTCCTAAATGGCACCCTATTCCCTAAGTAGTACACTAATTTTGACCAGAGCTCTATAGGCCCTGATCAAAAGTAGTGCACTAAATAGGGAATAGGGTTCTAACTTCAGCAGTTGAAATGACAGAACACACTGGCCCTATTCAGTTGTGTGATTGTACATATTAATTCTGTGTACATATTTCCATTGACATTTATGGCTTTTGATCCTCTGATGAACTATTGAGGGTAGCCATGCAGTAGATAAAATGTGTGTACAGTGTACTGGTGTAAGGAAAATTACAGATGTCATGTAGCAAAGTACATCAGGCCTTCTCACACAGTCACTCTCACACACAAACACAAGTCTACAGAGTCACAGCTACTGTTCTGCCATTTCATCAACTTCCTGCTGAAAGCACCAAAGAGTACAGAGGAAATTAAAAACGCCTTGCTGGCTGAACATGTGCTTGAGATGAGGACTGGTGTTAAATTCTCAGGGTTGTGAGTGACTGACTGGTAAAGTATACTGTGTGATAGATTAAGCAATCATAGAAGTCACATCTTAGAAATCATGAGTAACTTGCTTCCCAGCAATGCTGATGTGTAACCAGTAAACTACGTAAACCTGTTCATTGTAGATAGGAGAAGTATCCACACTGTTTTTTTCACTGACAGGTTGATGACAACTGCAACACTCCACTAATAGATTCAAAACATAGAATCTTTTAATTTAAATTATTATATAAAATTCTTGCTACCAATGGAATGTTATTTATATGGGGGATACAATCTTCCCAGCTCTGCAGATTTTGCTGCGAAGAGACAGAATCATTAGATAATTTGTTTTGGTACTGTCCATTTGTAGTTTGTTTTTGGACACAGGTCCAGGAATGGCTAAAGGATTGCAATATTTACCTGGAGCTAACCTTGCAGATAGCATTACTGGGTGATCTGAAAAGTCATAGTCAATCAATCAATAATATAATAATACTTTTAGCAAAAATGTTTATTTTCAATTCACAATCTGTAGAAACAATGAGAATAGAAAAGTTCAGAACTTTTGTAAGACATCATAGTACAGTTGAAATATATATGGCAAATAGAAATCCTATATGGATGGTGTTAAGAGATAGATGGGAGGTGTTGAATGGAATTGAAGGATGGGACTAATAACAACTAACAACAAACAATAACAAGATAACTAATAATGTAAGCATACTGTGTCCATAATAAGTATATAGGTTGTAGGTTGGGAGTTTTTGTGAAAGAGCACAGTTAGAAAGATATGGCATATAGAAGCAAACCGGATGGACATCATGAAAATGATCAGAGAGGTTGAGAGTAGAAGAAGTTCAGGAGAAAAAACAAACAAAATATAATTATTGTAAAATTGACTGTGTCCATAAAATGTAGATAGTAAGTATAAACTGGAAGTAGAGGCCTAAGCATTGTTGTTCACTAGTTTACTCCAAGTAGGGAAAGGGTGGCGGGGTTGGAAAGTAATACAGTGGGGAGAACAAGTATTTGATACACTGCCGATTTTGCAGGTTTTCCTACTTACAAAGCATGTAGAGGTCTGTAATTTTTATCATAAGTACACTTCAACTGTGAGAGACGGAATCTAAAACAAAAATCCAGAAAATCACATTGTATGATTTTTAAGTAATTCAAATACTTGTTCTCCCCACTGTATATGTATGTATATATATATATATATATATATATATATATATATATATATATATATATATATATATATATATATATATATATATATATATATATAAAAAAACATGGGGGATTGGAAGTGATGCAGACAATTACATTGATGGAAGTTACAATCTATCTGCAATATTAAGCTGATCTACCCAACAAATAAATAAATAGAAATAAAAAAATATAAATAAAATTGTTTCAGTATGAAATAATCTGCATGCCATATAAGGCTATGTAGCAATTCGGCAAGTATTCAGACCGCTTGACTCTTTCCACATTTTGTTATGTTACAGCCTTATTCTAAAATTGATTAAATAGTTTTCCCCCCCCTCATCAATATACACACAATACCCCATAATGACAAAGCAAAAACAGGATTTTAGAAATTTTTGCAAATTTTTTTTTTTTTTAAAAACGGAAATATCACATTTACATAAGTATTCAGACACTTTACTCAGTACTTTGTTGAAGCACCTTTGGCAGCGTATGTATGACGCTACAAGCTTGGCACACCTATATTTGGGGAGTTTCTCCCATTCCTCTCTGCAGATCCTCTCAAACTCAGTCACGTTGGATGGGGAGCGTTGCTGCACAGCTATTTTCAGGTCTCTTCATGGATGTTCGATCGGGTTCAAGTCCGGGCTCTGGCTGGGCCACTCAAGGACATTCAGAGACTTGTCCCGAAGTCACTCCTGTGTTGTCTTGGCTGTGTGCTTAGGGTCGTTGTCCTGTTGAAAGGTGAGTCTGAGGTCCTGAGCACTCTGGAGCAGGTTTTCATCAAGGATCTGCTCTGTTTATCTTTGCCTCGATCCTGACTAGTCTCCCAGTCCCTGCCGCTGAAAAACATCCCCAAAGCATGATGCTGCCACCACCATGCTTCACCGTAGGGATGGTGCCAGGTTTCCTCCAGACGTGACACTTGGCATTCAGGCCAAATAGTTCAATCTTGGTTTCATCAGACCAGAGAATCTTGTTTCTCATGGTCTGAGAGTCTTTAGGTGCCTTTTTGCAAACTCCAAGCGGGCTGTCATGTGCCTTTTACTGAGGAGTGGCTTCCTTCTTGCAACTCTACCATAAAGGCCTGATTGGTGGAGTGCTACAGAGATGGTTGTCCTTCTGGAAGGTTCTCCCATCTCACAGAGGAACACTAGAGCTCTGTCAGAGTGACCATCGGGTTCTTGGTTACCTCCCTGACCAAGGCCCTTCTCCCCCGATTGCTCAGTTTGGCCGGACGGCCAGGTCTAGGAAGAGTCTTGGTGGTTCCAAACATCTTCCATTTAAGAATGATGGCGGCCGCTGTGTTCTTGGGGACCTTCAATGTTGCAGACATTTTTTGGTACCCTTCCCCAGATCTGTGCCTCGACACAATCCTGTATCGGAGCTCTACAGACAATTCCTTCGACCTCATGGCTTGGTTTTTGCTCTGACATGCACTGTCAATTGTGGCACCTTATATAGACAGGTGTGTGCCTTTCCAAATCATGTCCAATCAAGTTGTAGAAACATCTCAAGGATGATCAATAGAGCTCAATTTCGAGTCTCATAGCAAAGGGGAAGGTATTTCTGTGTTTAATTTGTAATACATTTGCGAAAAATCCTAAAAGCCTGTTTTCGCTTTGTCATTATGGGGTAGTGTGTGTAGATTGCTGAAGATGTTTTATTTATTTAATCAATTTTAGAATAAGGCTGTAACGTAACAAAATGTGGACAAAGTCAAGGGGTCTGAATACTTTCCGAAGGCACTGTATGTATTTACATGCACTCATGCACTGTTTTGTAAGTTATAGGTGCACCTCCCCTGCTGTAATCAGGTGCATTATCCTACTGGAAGCCAAGGCCCTGGACCACAAACACAGCTAAACACAATAATATAACCAAGTATAAGAATTACAGTCTAAATAAAACATTCTCAGTATGTTGCTGACACACACAGAGCCACAGTCAACCTCATGTCTAGGGATGTGTAGGTTACCTTGTAAATGGAATCCGTTATAGTTACTAGTTAGTTACCTGTCCAAAATTGTAATCAGTAACTTAACTTTTGGATTACCCAAACTCAGTAACGTAATCTGATTACTTTCAGTTATTTTTGGATTACTTTCCCCTTAAGAGGCATTAGAAGAAGACAAAAAGGATTCATCAAATGCATTTGGTGTGTCATCATAGTGGTCTCTGACTTGTGGTCAGACTCGCTCAGATGGAACAAACTTAAAGGTCCAATGCAGCCGTTTTAATCTCAATATCAAATAATTTCTGGTTAACAATTAAGTACCTTAATGTGATTGTTTTAAATTAAACTGGTCAAAAAGAAACAGTGGGGAGGGGGAAATTGAAAATGTGCTGCTATTGGCAGAGAGGTTTGGAACCCTCTAATTGGTCTAGTAGCTAATTTGCTGGTCAGGCAAGCCAAAACTCCATCCCACCAAAACAGGCTAAAATTTTAAGCGGTCTTTTCTAAGTTTTTCACAATTTCATAGTATTATTCTAACCTCATAGTGTGGAAATATATATATATATATATATATATATATATATATATATATATATATATATATATATATATATATATATATATAAAACATAGGAATATCCTGTTTTTGACTGCACTGGGCCTTTAAACTTGCATTGTTTTAGTTACTCCCCAACTCCGCTCATGTCACACCTACAGGTCCAGCCTCTATACCTCTACATAGACGCCTGTTACACACACATGCACTAGTGTACAATGCAACTAATGATACAACAACAAATGTACCTATTTACACAAACGCAATGACTCCCAAGAATAGCTTAATGTAACTTACCTATTCTAGCTGTGTCAGCTTTGAGGGTGCTGAAGTCCCAGTTCCGAGGTAGCTTGAGAGACATTATTCCTCCTTCATAGAAAAGGTCAGTATCTCACTTCACAACACACACACACATACACACACACACACACTCACATATATACACAGCACACACACATCCATGAAGGGTTTTGCTGTAGATTTCCAGTCTGTCTGTCACACTAAAACCTTTCTCTATCTGACTTCCTACTTCCTGTATAGCTACTAATCTTTCTTTTTCTTTTTTCAACATGTCAAAACACGTTCTTTCTTGTTCCCTCTACTTCCCTCTAGATACATGTTCTGCTATTCTAATTCTTCACTGCACTGTAAATACCCCCTCTCCATGTAGGTATATCATAGCAAGTGCTCTATGATGGAAGGTTTCAAATGACAAACCATTCACCAGTGTCAATAAACCACTGGTCTCCCTGTATTCTCTCTCAGGAGGAAGTGGGTTTTGTTTCTGGGTTGCAGTCTCTTCAAGCTGTGGCAATGCCGCTCACCGGCAACATGCAGCTTACAGTGTGTTCACAGCCATACAGTTCAACTTGATTTTTTACATCTAAAATTGTAACATTGTGGCTTGATGTTACAGCATCGGTCAATTATTTTAGAATTTGTGCACTGATTAATATGTTACAAAAATGCCCTAATGACAACCACAGCCCAACACACTCTCTGTTATAGTCAGTTATAGTCAGGGGTGAAAGTAGGCTATAGTGTTCCTACCTCATTCAAAGATTCAGTATTAATTCTTAAAAGCTATTGCGGGGGGTTCTAAGCTGACATATATAATTGTTTTAAGATGGTCATACTATCACTCATTTAGCTGTTTGATTTTACATTTTAGGACCCCTTTATGTATAAATAAATATACAGTACCAGTCAAAGGTTTGGACACACCTACTCTTTCAAGGGTTTTTCTTTTTTTTTAAACTATTTTCTACATTGTACAATAATAGTGAAGACATCAAAACTATGAAATAACACATATGGAATCATGTAGTAACCAAGTGTTAAACAAATCTAAACATATTTTATATTTGAGATTCTTCAAATAGCCACCCTTTGCCTTGATGACAGCTTTGCACACTCTTGGCATTCTCTCAACCAGCTTCACCTGGAATGCTTTTCAAACAGTCTTGAAGGAGTTTCCACATATGCTGAGCACTTCTTGGCTGATTTTCCTTCACTCTGCCGTCCGACTCATCCCAAACCATCTCAATTGGGTTGAGGTCAGGGGATTGTGGAGGCCAGGTCATCTGATGCAGCACTCCATCACTCTCCTTTTTGGTCAAATGGCCCTTACACAGCCTGGAGGTGTGTTGGGTCATTGTCCTGTTGAAAAACAAATGATAGTCCCACGAAGCCCAAAACAGATGGGATGGTGTATCGCTGCAGAATGCTGTGGTAGCCATGCTGGTTAAGTGTGCCTTGAATTCTAAATAAATCACAGACAGTGTCACCAGCAAAGCACCCCCACTCCAATTTGGACTCCAGACCAAAGGACACATTTCCACCGGTCTAATGTCCATTGCTCATGTTTCTTGGCCCAAGCAGGTCTCTTCTTCTTAATGGTGTCCTTTAGTAGTGGTTTCTTTGCAGCAATTTGACCATGAAGGCCTGATTCACACAGTCCCCTCTGAACAGTTGATGTTGAGATGTGTCTGTTACTTGAAATCTGTGAAGCATTTATTTGGGCTGCAATTTCAGAGGCTGGTAACTCTAATGAACTTATCCTCTGCAGCATTCCTGTGGCGGTCCTCATGAGAGCCAGTTTCATCATAACGCTTGATGGTTTTTACGACTGCACTTGAAGAAACATTCAAAGTTCTTGACATTTTCAGGATTGACTGACCTTCATGTCTTAAGGTAATGATGGACTGTCGTTTCTCTTTGCTTATTTGAGCTGTTCTTGCCCTAATATGGATTTGGTATTTTACCAAATAGGGCTATCTTCTGTATACCCCCCTAACATGTCACAACACAACTGATTGGCTCAAACACATTAAGAAGGAAATAAATTCCACAAATTAACTTTGAAGAAGGCACACCTGTTAATTGAAATGCATTCCAGGAGACTACCTCATGAAGCTGGTTGAGAGAATGCCAAGAGTGTGCAAAGCTGTCATCAAGGCAAAGGGTGGCTATTTGAAGAATCTCAAATATAAAATATATTTTGATTTGTTTAACACTTTTTTGGTTACTACATGATTCCATATGTGCTATTTCATAGTTTTGATGTCATCACTATTATTCTACAATGTAATTTTGTTTACAAATAAAGAAAAACCCTTGATTGAGTAGGTGTGTCCATACTTTGGTAGTGTATATAAAAAGGATTTGATAAAACATTGAATTTGGCCTTTAATACTGTAGCCCAGAGAAACACATTGAATAACACATTCATAAATGGCAAAAAATACAGTCAAAAAATAAATAATAAGAAACACAGTTTTGAAGTGTTTGTCAAATATCTAGGAGATATAAGAAAGCTCAGGGAATATATATATAAAACATTTTTTTGACACATATTCAACCCCTTTTTGGGGTAGGCACAAAACTACCTTCATACTTCCACTCATAAAAAATAAAAAAACTTTACCGGTTACCTTCAGACGAGTCCCGTGACACTTGTGGGGGTCGTAGAGCAAAATGGAAACCACCATCGTGTTCATGAGAGTCTCCCCTTTACATAGAGTGATCATAATAGTAGTAGATAATAATAGATTTTCGGGATGTCTCATGGTCTGACAAACACTACTCTAGCTCTGCCATCTTTCACCGCAGATGTGGAAGTGTGACATCGGTGGATGCAGTGGAAAAAAATAGATATCTCTACCTTAAACTGACGGATTTTGATGGGGATTATTTTATTATGTTACTTAGATTGATGCACCGGTGCGTCAATCGACTCTAGGGGAACTATTAGCACTTAACAAAACAGGGAAGTTCAGAGATACAGGGAAGAACACACATACACACACATATCATGTCATCTAACATATCAACAGGGTATTTACTGAAAGGCAAAGCACATTTTCTGGCATTATCAAAAATGTACAACTTCAAATGGTTTCCTAAATCAAATACAATTTAACACAAATCATTGCACAATATACAATAATAATAACAAAACATATAAATCATAAAATATCTATATCTATCATAGCAAATGCTAAACAATACCCACAGGAGGAGTATATGCGACGTGTGAACAGCCAAACATAGCAGGTATCCATACATTCCATTATGTCCTGGCTAGCTTGATAAGATTCATACTATACTAAAATAGAACTGTGTAATAGGAAATTGCACAGTGATAGCCTATTACGTGAGCTACAGAAAATAGCTATTCTCAATATTATGATTAACCTATTGCTGAGGGAAATTCTCATTTATGTAAAAGCGAGTTGCTGAGGAGGAATAATGATCCCTAGGCTCAATACAATAGACCAAGGAGGATGACTCTCAATTAAGAAAAAGCTATTTTAGCCTTTAGCTCACTCTAGTGGCAGCTATCCATAATACGGACATGGAACTGGCACAATACTGTTTGTACCACCAATGAAGTCCAAGGAAAATGTACCCCCTTCTCATTGGTTGGATTCCATTATTCCCCTTGTTGGCTTCCGACTTTCCTTCTATTAATACGTCTCTTATCTACTCATCATGAGACATCGCAATAGGTTCCCTCTCTTGAACACAGCACACAGATAGCACATACTCAGTAAGAGCTTCTATAGACAGACAATAACAGCCAATATCAGGAAATACAAGACTAGCTAATGCACCAGAAACCACAGCAATAAGAGAGAAAATAGTGACACACACATATTTGAACAAAGTCTCTCCTCTAGTCCTATATTACCTGAATATTTCTCTGAACATTAGCTAAGTAAATCTGTGAGTTATGTACATTTACAAAACAGAAGAATATATAATAATATAATTTCTAAACAGCTGGATTTGGATGATATAATAATAATATAGAAAAACAAAGCTAAGTTTAATACCAGTACACTACAGTACACAATTCACCAGAGTAACAACAACAAGCAAGGTAGAGAAGACTGACAGAACATCAAATCATTTTCACACAAAAATGTATAGGAAAAAATCATGTAACATTTGGGTACTGTGCGTTTAAAGAAGTAGGCATTTCAAGGAGTAGAGCTGCATGGTTTTTGGACTGTATAGAGGTCTCCCTCTGTCATGTGTCCTTCCATATCAGTGGAGATAGATGGGATAGAAGGTGAGGATGTGAAGGACAGAGACATAATGGCAGTGGAGCTGTAGAGTAGCGCAGATGATTGCCCAATCCCAAACATACCTCTATGGCTATTTAGTGAACGGATTCCCTATTAACTCTCCTTCCTGTAAGTATAGGATCCTACATAGACATTTCACAGCCTACATTTATACTGTACAGTGGTGTGAAAAAGTGTTTGCCCCCTTCCTGATTTCTTATTTGTTTGCATGTTTGTCACACTTAAATGTTTCAGATCATCAAACAAATTTAAATATTAGTCAAAGATAACACAAGTAAACACAAAATGCAGTTTTGAAATGAAGGTTGTTATTATTAAGGGAAAACTAAATTCAAACCTACATGGCCCTGTGTGAAAAAGTGTTTGCCCCCCCTGTTATAACAACTCAACTGTGGTTTATCACACCTGAGTTCAATTCCTCTAGCCACACCCAGGCCTGATTACTGCCACACCTGTTCTCAATCAAGGAATCACTTAAATAGGACCTGCCTGACAAAGTGAAGTAAACCAAAATATCCTCAAAAGACATCATGCCGAGATCCAAAGAAATTCAGGAACAAATGAGAAAGAAAATAATTGAGATCCATCAGTCTGGAAAAGGTTATAGAGCCATTTCTAAAGCTTTGGGACTCCAGCGAACCACAGTGATCCAATCCAATTGACATTTAGCAGACGCTCTTTTCCAGAGCGACTTACAATTAGTGAGTGCATACATTTTTCATACAGTGAGAGCCATTATCCATAAATGGCGAAAACATGGAACAGTGGTGAACCTTCCCAGGAGTGGCCGGCCGACCAGAATTACCCCAAGAGC